GCCGTTTTTCCTCATTTAAAAACACCCTGTAGAAATAGCAGAAGTATTAAAAGTACTCGAGACAACGCTTTGGGGGTGTGCATTTGGCGTTGGGGATATGCAAGGAAATAATAAAGCATTACCGTGAGCGAAAATCGATCCCGTTTCCCTTTTTCCAAACAACGAAATTACTTAAACGCTGTTATTTCCATATCAGGACAGATAACAAAATTTCACACTCCCGTCGTTATTATATGCGGGTTCTGTCAATATTGGAAGGCACTAACGAGTTCGAGTTTCGAATAGGAGGGATTTTAAAAACGCATAAAATTTTTGCAGATAAAACTACACTTTTTATTGAAAACTTCGTAAAATTGTAAATCGTCTATACAAAGTGATCCCACAAAATCAGAAAATTAACGAACTGGAAACACTACTCTTTTTTTCTCTTTTCCAGCTTCCAATTCAGTCGGGAATTAGTTATTTCTTCATAAAATATGAAAACCTTCCCATACAGGGTGTTTTGAAGAAGGTGGAAGTGGAAGGGTTGGGGTGGAATACTTAAATATAAAACAATTTTCCATTTGTCTCTTGTTTTTGACATACCAACCGTTTAATTTATTAAGTTTCTCGGGGTGCTAAACACATAACTTGTGTTAATTTTCTTGTAGAGGTCGCTACCTACCACCTGTTCCAGCGGCATTCAATAATTATTTTGAGGTCAGATTGCACCTCAGGAGAGGGAGAATGCAAAGAGGCCAAATGTGTGACTTAGGGCGAAGATCCATGGGGTGTGAACGAACGTCAGCTCTGGTATTCTGCATTTCATTAGTCAGTACGGTGTCATGCTTTTAGGCTTTTGTATTATACACACTCTTTCAATCGTTTTAAACTTATTTATTGTTAGTAATACATTCTAAATTAATCAATTTTTTTAACAAATTCAAAACATCAATCTAATGTCGAATCCGCCCAGGAATTTCCTTGGCTGCAGCAAAGATCCTAAGGGATAATAGTCCAGTCGGCAGAGGCCGAAAAGTAACTGTTAGTGACATTTCCTTGATAACCCGGAAATAACTACACAGGCCTACTTTAAATGATGAGTACAATAACAGGTTAATTTGCTGACAAAGTATTTTATCAGGAAAAAAGTTATTAACAATTGAATTGCGAAAATTCGCTTTTTTAGTAGTTTTTTTTTAAATAACTCAGCGGGATGACTTTGTACGAAAAAATGCTTAAGACATGATTTGTTCGTAATAAAAATAGCTACAAAATGGCGGTGGTCCGATTACGAAATTTGCAATAATAAAGCCGTGAGATTGAAAAACTGTATAAAACGTCAGTTTTTCATAATTGCTAGTACGTAGAATCCAAAATTGCAATAATATACAGGGTGTTCCTTTTAAAATAACGAAGACGACGTCAACTTCCGGTATAACCGGAAGCGTTAGGAGGGCGCCATTATTTTAGTTGAGAAGGGCATGCCCGAAAATGCTATTGCCCAAATTTTCAACATTAAAATCGGAAGTAGTCTCTGAAATATGTCTAATTTTTTCATTGCGCGGTATAAACATAAAAAATTTTCTAAATGCGTTTCCTATAACAGTGAATAAATCAAGTACTGGAAAGCCACGAGTCTTTCTAAAAAACGCTACAGTGGAAACAATGCTATGCATCAGTTAAAACTTTTTAGGACGGCATTTTAAAAGGAAAGATTAATTATCTTTTGTCGTTTAAAGTTATTCCAACAATTCGTTGCAAAAATTACTTCTAGGTCTCAATTTCAACTAATAAATTGTGGGTTGAACATGACTAGAGTTTTCTTCTCGCAAGCTGGTCCTTACTCGGCCACTGCGAGGTTCAACTCGGCGTATTTTTAAGGACTTTTACCAGCATTTAACCAAGTTTGTATCGATTTACGGCCGTAGTGACTCACGATGCATTTTTGCGCTAATCTACTCTAGATACAATGGAGAAGCCATATTTCTTCTTACTGTTTATACAAATTACTTACCATTTAAAATTTTTGCTGCTAAAATTTATCTTAATAAGCCTTCAGAATTTGCGATGCAACTGGAGATGTTTGCTGACAGAAATAAAACTTGAGAATCAGTTTTCTAGGTTTACCCGCTGCATTGACGTGAACTTCAGGAGAAAAGTAAAATGTCTTGTTTTATATTTTTTGTGTAGTTTAGTTTTGCTCTCTTAGAAGAAACTTCCCGCAAAATCGTATTATGCAATATATTGCAATAAACCACTTATAAAACTGCTCTTCGCGAAGTAATTTCGAATTATGTATGTAATTTTGTTAGTTCCTTTCTCGAATAAAACTTTTACCGAAGGTTGAAATTTACATAAAATTGTTTGGAATATCACAGCATAACGCAAGAAAACGTTAAAAGTTAAAATATAGAGGAATAATGTTCTAAACTCAACCATATTGACATAACTGGGGCATAGAATACCCTAAAATACAATGTTTATCACTTTTTTTATGGTAAATTCCAAAAACTAATTAGCGTTGTAATAAATTTCAAATTTGGTATTCGGTCACTAACCTAGCTTTTATTGTGTTTTTAATAGTGACCGACAAACAGACTTTTGAATGAATGAGTAAGATATTTTTAAATATTAACAAGTATTATATATTTGTTAATAAAAACGCGATATCTTTACACAGAGTAGGTAGTTTTTAACATAAGTTTCAAAGATACATTTTGGAATACTAAAATGTTTCGCCACTATTTGACAAGCAAACTTAGGTCACTCTGTAGAATTATTTTAATAATTAATTTTAATTTATATAGTCGTATTTCAATTTTTTCTCCATTTGTTTCATTATTTTGACTGGCTTAAATATGGCTATGAATATGTATTTTCTTTTGTTAAATCGAGATGTATTAGAGGCTTAATTTTAGAATATAAAAAATATTTTAATTTATATTCTGCACGATTTTTGTGCTGATACAGTGGCGATCTTTCCCATTGCCCAAATGAAAACGTTAATTAATCACTATTCTAAAGAAACACCCACATCGCATAATTATTCTGAGAGCTCCGAAATTACGCATAAAAAAAATTGGTAACCAGCCAGACAGTCTATGTCGACTGGCAAGTGGTATTTGCTTATTATTGATTTTAACGAAATAATTAATAAGGTATAGCCCCATCAAAACACGATAGGAGGTCATTTATTTCAATTTTTTCGTTAATTACACCCGAACTTAATTTACCTTTAATTTATTATTCTATACTGATTGGCACAAGTAAATTATTAGTACTTGAATTAACTATCTAGTGTATCATCAATTTTTGTCTAAAGGGCGGCGCAACCACTAATTATATACCAGTAACGCACACACAGGACGTTTCATTGGAAATGGTACACAGTTTGATGTGAGATTTGTGAATTAACATTAACCTCTTGGATTTTTCACACTAGTGCGTAAAGTACTGCGTATAGTACATGCTTTACGCACTAGTGTGTACTGTGTTTTACGCACGGTAGTAGAAAATCATTGCTTTCATAAAAAACTGTTATTAACTTTTGTACTTTTTCGTACACATCATACACAATGTTCTGCGTAGCAACACATACGTATTTTAATCGCATTACCAGTATACGAAAGCTTTAATATCAGTGGAAAGAAATATAAAGGTCTATTAACTACATCTTTCACGTAAAACACAATTGAAAATGATACAGTGAACCGTTAATATATTACATTAAATAGGATACTAAATGACCATCAAGTATGCGCGATGTATCACTACATACCTCGTTGAATTTGCCTCTCGACTTGAACGGAGATCTATGTAGGCATATATTACATTTACAGATATTACTGAAGCTAAATAAAATGCTGTAGCGTCGATCGGTCCGAAACGAGTGGTAATTGCGATGTTCTTTTAGGAATAACCCTACTCGCCAGCCCTTCCGCCACACAATTTTTATTTAAGATATAAAAAGTGCATCAGTAACTATAATTAGTTTTTAATTAAAAAGTGTGGATAACGTATGGCGACAATATGTAGCGTTACGTCGCCTGGTGAATGGAAAAAGGACTCATGGAATCCTTAACTTAAATAAATAAGATTCCATTTAATACGTTTCCTTAACTTTTTACAATTTTATTAAATCAAGGAGATAAGAAATATAATTAACCGTCCTGGGGGCGTTATCGTGGTTCTTCCTTGAAATAAAAGGAGGATGTAATATTTAGATGCGGTCAAATCCGTAATAAGACGTCTGGGGCATTTCTTAAGGTTTAACTTTTACGCTTTTAATATTACAAATATCGCTGGTTTTTATGAAAAATTCATTACCACAAAGGATGTAATACTAATTTTAAAGGAACATATTTATAAGAGGAAAATACGTAATCATTTTTCAGTTTGTTTTACGTTACAAAAATTAATTAATTATTTCATCGTGGGCAAGATTCGTATTAGTCGTTGTCTAAACATGTTATAAGTATTAGAAACGAAAATAGAATTTCAATATGTCGGGTGTGTTTAATTGATAAATCTTTGTGTCACATTTATTAAGCCGAAAGGTATCCTAAGAAACTCAAATCCCGAATGGTGTTATAGCCGTTTAAAAACATCTTCCGCAGCTGAAATCTGATGATAAGCACTAATAACTTCAATTTTTAAAAATATGTTACAACCATGAACATGTGAATTTAAATAATGGATATTGATTTGGTACTGTGATATCATTTTATTGTCTAAAATTTCCACATCGAGGGGTAAACCGCTGGGGAAATTTAATCAATTACAAGGAAATGTAAGGATAATGGGAAGTGGGGGTGGGGGTAATGCGAGGTAATAAGTAGTAGAAACAAAAATAGGATTTCAGTGTCAGGTATTTGTTTCTTATTAATCACTTGTAGTGTACCTTTTGTATATCTAAATATATGGTATCAAGGAATATATATAATGAAAGTTTTTGAATGAATTTGATTTAGCTTTCCTTCGAAGTAACTTAAAAATATTAATTGAGACTAGTTTACTTACCTTCGATAGGATTGTGTCTTGGCTTGTTCATTAAATCTGAAAACAGAAAACAGTTATTAAAAAAGTGACGCACGAAATATTTGATGTAAAATATATTTTGCGTCAAAGACTGATAATGCTTACAGAAAAAACTACAGGTTTCGAAACATTCCAATTATTGTATCAATGCCTATAATCATGCTTTTTATTGATATTTTTTATATAATCTGTTTAAAAATTTAATAATTCCTGCCCTTACCAAACAGTATCAAAATTCAATAAAAAGTAGAGAGAAAAGTACACCTCATGTTCAAAATTGTTGTTTTTTTTTTTCACAAACGGGTAAATTGATTTTAATAGTATTTTCTTTATTACGAGTTTATTCCTCATTAACGACGAAAATATAGTAATTTTTAGAAAAGAGGTAGAAGTTATATTTAATAGAACATTTAATATACCATTTTTATATAGAATGTGACATTTATGAATAATCTACGTACATACTTCATTTATAAGGATAGAACATGGCAGTCGACAACTAGACTTTAATAATTCAAAACAAATTTCTATTTCTACACCATACACAAGCAGGATTATTCTACTTAAATAAAGATTTAAAAAAATAGCTCTTTTAAATGTCATACTAATTAGTTTTTATTGTTTATGTGTTATGTGGAAATTAAAATTTCTTATAGAACAAGAAATATTAAATATTTTATATTTCACTAGCAACTGCTCAACTGGAAAAGCTATTACACCGATTTTAATAATATTTTAATCAATTACAACGAAAGTTACTTTTAGATATTTTGTGTTGTGGTGTGTTGCACTATTTTCTGCATCATCTGCCAGAAGAAATGCAGATTTAATTATGTCATACCAACTAATTCTTTGTTATTCTTTAAAACTGTATGTCTTAAATACTAGTACACCAAAATGACAGATGTATTCATTAAATAATAAAATATGGTATCTTCTGCGATATTAGAAAGTGGATAAGCTTCTGATCATCTTGCAAATCTCTTGCAAGTACTGTATGTCTACAATCGTTCGAAGAACGAACGACTTTTTGGGATATCAAAATTATTGACACGAGATTTAGTATGCCTGGCATTCAATACACGATTTTGTGTAGCAAATATTTTATTTCTTGATCATGAATAGGGTAATTGAAAGGTTTGGTCGCATTTCTTAAGCCGAAAGGCATCCTAACAAATTCAAAAAGCCCGATTGGTATCGTTACAGCTGTTTTAAAAACATCTTCCTCGACTGAGGAAATTATATGTAATGAAAGGAAATTCTAGGTAATGCAGGGAAATGCTAGAAAAAATCTGGCAATGGGAATTCATGGGTATTACTCAGGAGATGAAACGCCATGGGAAATAGTGTTAATAACTAATTAAGTTAGGTACTGTACTATGTAGTAAATAAGGTACACTACACTATAATAAACTTACACTTGCGTGACTATTTAAAATTGAAAAGTATAGTGATTTTTTGCAGAAGCCAGCGTTTTTTATTTCCTCGAGCAACATAACTTATAATTTCGAGGCCTCAATTGTATTTCGGACATCCCGGGGATATACGACGTGTACTCCACCCCGAAGGGGCAATTTTGTAAAAAATAAAATCGTTTCCGGTGTCTCGCATTGCTCTCTCTTCATCGGGGACAATAAATAATGAACGGGTCTCGTATATCGATCTTTTCCGGGGACACTAGATGCTGCATTCAAACAAATATATATTGATATACTAAAGGGATGCCACCCAGGCAACGGCGGACTTAAACCGGTGTAAATGTAATTGATTTAAGCATTTAACTTAGTTAACTCGAATAGATTTAGATAGGCTGCAATGTAAACTGGCCCGCTGTATGTTTATCCAGATATTTACTTATCAGTTTGCCAGATAGGGATTAACTGTCTCATTGACCAACTGTTAACGTTGTAAATCAATGACCACTTCAAAGGACACAGAAGCGGACGGGCTGTTGACTAACTGCGTGCGTTTGTTGCCAGAGGTCAACGTCTTTTTCGAATTGATCGACAACTGAAATGTGTTGCTAAATAAATTAGCTTTTTGCAACACGTATCGATTGCGTGTTTATGCTCCGGAAGGGAAGGAAGTGCAACACAATGGAAATCCACAAATCGTCGAACAACGTCTAAAAAACGTTATTTCTGAATCTAAAACTGAATATTTAATTTTAAATGCAATGAAATAATCGCAGTGTCATTAAGTCGTATATTTCATGTTTTCTCTTCTAAATGTAGGATGACGTTTAAAAGACGTAACGTTTTTGACCTTCAGTCACTTTTCTTAAAATATTTTACCGATTAATGTTATAAAATTACATCAGTATCTTCCGAAATACTGGCATAAAATTAATTTCATGAAAATATAATACGTCACACAACGTCTAATATGCGTCATTGATTTTGTATCTTTTAAATAGACGATCAATTATTTTAGGTCGAACAACGTCTAAAACACGTCATTCGTTTAAACTTTCTAAATTTAACTATCGTTTCGTTTTAACATAACGAAACCCATTATCTTTTGAATACGTGTATGATGACATATAAAAGACGTAATATTTCTACACAATGACAATTTAATTTGTAATGTGTTGAGATAAACTACAATAAGCGCCTAATTCAGACCTAAAATGCTTACATTTTATGGAAATCCAGAAAACGTCAGAGAACGTCGAGAATACGTCATTTTTCTAATATTCTCGAATTTAACTAATGAATTTTTTAATTATGTTTGAAGGTCAATGAAGTAAGACGGAATTCATTGTACAAATGTCTCTTATCTCTTGATGAGCAGAATATATATGACGTTTAAATGACGTATTTTTTCTAAAATGCTTACTTTTCATGGAAATCCACAAAACATCAAGTAAGGTCATTTTTCTAATATTCTCAGACTTAACCACTCAATTTTTGAATTATATTGTTTGAAAGTCAATTAAATAATATGCAATGCATTATAAATTCATACACGAATGTACCTTATCTGTTGAAGAGCAGAATATATAATGTGACGTTTAAAAGAAGTAATTTTTCTACATAATGATAATTCAACTTTTAATGTGTTAAAATCAAACTACAATAGCATAATTAAGATCTAAAATGCTTACTTTTCATGGAAATCCACAAAACGTCAAGTAAGGTCGAAAATACGTCACTTTTCTAACATACTCAGACTTAATCAGACTTAACCACTCAATTTTTGAATTATATCGTTTAAAAGTCAATAAAATAATATGTAATGCATTATAAATTCGTACACAAATCTATCTTATCTGTTGAAGAGCAGAATACATAGTATGACGTTTAATAGACGTAATTTTTCTTACCTTCAAGCACTTTTCTTCAAATACTTTAATCATTAGTATTATAAAATAACATCAGTATCTTCCGAAATGCGGGTAAAAAATTGATTTCATCATTAATGAAATACGTCTTATAACGTCTAATACACGTTATTGATTCTAAACTTTTTTAAAAATAACGATTACTTTAAAATATTGTATTTGGAATGTCTTGTTGCAATCTACACTAAAATATAAAATATATATTTTGCATGGATGATCATGATAGGTCGAATAACGTTTAAAACACGTTTTTCGACATACGAAACTTTATGAATTTAAAACCTCTCAACCTTATATCATAATGAAATACGTAATACGCAATACGTGTAAAATTCGTATACAAAAGTCTGTATTCTATTGAGGCGCAGAATATGTAGTATAACGTGTAGAAGACGTAATTTTTGTAACCTATTAAACGCAACTGGCTCTTATTGTTTTCTGCAAATGTTTTTATACGAATATCTTATTACACAGTACACCACAACATCCTTGAAAACAAGGCGTATGCCTGATATTTTTCATATAAAATAAGGATATGTCATATAACGTCTAAAAGACGTCATTTTTCAAGCTTCTCAATATCATTCTTCCTTTCATTCTATTTACGATTTAATAAAATAATGTACCATGTACCCGACATAGGGCGCTGGTTTATTTTTCTATGAGACAGTAAAATTTATCCTCTAGAGTCTAAAAAACGTCATTTTTCGAACCTTTGGAATGTAATTACTAATTTTTAAATACTCTAACATTGCATTTTCCGATATCTTTACAATTTAACTACAATTTTTTAAATATTTGCACGAAATATCCCGTTAGCGTCAACACTTTTTAATTATCTCAAAAAGAAACGTTAATGAGCATGCTGTAACAGTGTTTAGGTTCGTAGTAATCGTACTGTAGGTTTCAAAAAATTAACTGAATCAATGAAATTTATATGGATACTGTATTTTAATTATTAAATGACTGACATTTGGCGATGTTTAAATAGAGGCAATTTTCAGAATAAACATCTGCAAACAAGTCAATGCATGTATCTAACGTTAGACTACGGTTGAAGCATTACAATATCGCGTGAGAGATATTTTGTTGGCGAAAAAAGGGCTATAAGTAAACCAGCAATTACAGTCAAATATATGATGTAATAAAGTACATACGTCGGCTTGTGGTTTTAATTAGCACTAAGAGTACTGTTGTTCGCATGTTAATAAATTTTTACAAGAACCATAACAGTGCATTTTAACATACACAGCCAGAGATATGCAAAGCACGAGAATCATTAATTTTCAATTAACTCGGAAAATATTGGTTTAGTTACTAAAGTTAATTGCAAACATAAATTTGTTCCCAGTTGATGCCGACTAAATCAGTTTGATATGATTAATTACAAGATACGCAATCGAATGTGACACTGTTGTAATCACTGATACAGAGCATCTCAAAATATATTCGACGTTGGAAAGTGTAGAAAATATTGTAAAACAAATTTTACCCAGACTAACTAACCGATTTGCCAAAGTGACCCGAACCCCCAGTTAAAAGTTGTAGGATATCAATAAATCAATATACTGGCGACCTTAATTAAATTCGACCTTGATCTTAAGTTTCAAGGTCAAACCAATCCTTATTCCCCAACTGGATTCGGAAAGAGCGGAAAGTTCCACGTTCAGATGAT